GCTAACCCTACCCCCAAATTCATGTAGCTCTAACTTCATGTTTACATAAGCTGCACACAATGCAGAGGGCAGAATTTGGCCCCCAAACCTTCCATGGAATATTCTAAGTAATTGGTCCTTCTACTCCAAGCAGAACTTGAGAGTTCCAATCTGAATAGAATACTGCCACTCAGGATAAACGGCCCTGCTTTCCACCAGCCGGGAGCCTATGTAGCTGCTGCAGCAGAGTGAGCACACCAGGAGCCCTTGAGGGAAGGCAGAGGGCCAGGAGACTGGCTGTGCGCTCAGTGAGTCCAACGCTGGCTTACAGCTACGCGCCGCCTCGAGTGCTCTGCGCACCCTGCTTCTCCTTGGGAAGGAAAAAGCACACTCATCTTGAGAATTAACCTATCTGTAGTCAGAAAAAGAATGACAGGAGCTGAAGGAATCCCAAGAAAAAGTATGAAGCATTGACTAGGAAGGAAGACAAATGCCTCCAGTAGTGTTCTCAGAGTTCTCAGATCTGAAATGTCAGAATGAGTCACACAATGGTCACGGTCCATGAATGAAAACGCAATCCCACTGGGCACTATTCACACGGTGCATGATTACTTCATGGGGGTGGAAGGCAACAGGCTCCTGCCGTTTGACAGTATGGTTTCAGAATGAGCAGAGACTGCTGAATAAACCAGGGTAAGCAGTGTGAACACTCCTCGCTGTCCATCATTTTCCACAGGTTGATCTGCGCTGCCTGAGAGAAAGGAGGCAATACCCCTATCCCTTCCAACACACACAGGCATGGATGGCTGCTACCACCTACAATTGCCAATTCAGAAGTTAACACATAAGCCCTCCAGTTTCGTACCCTGAATATGGTAAATAAGGCTAGGAATGGAGTAGTTCAGTCTAAGAAAGATCACAGGTAATAACAGAATGCTTATATAAACTAGACTGCTTTTGACACCTGTAACAAAATTGTATAGATGGCAGTTGGAAAAAAAAAGATTGTTCCCATCTGTCAGCAAAACTGTTGCGCTATACTCAGCTGAAGTCCTCATCAGGATTCTGTTGATCCAGCAGACGGACATGTGTGAATGGGAAGTGACCTCGTTTGCCATTACACTCCCCTTCCCACTGACCACTCACATTAATCTTCGTAACCTTTACCAGCTCACCGACCTGCAGGAGGAGAATAAGGAGAGCACTTTATTTCCGGTAAAGAAGGCAAGCTAAACAACTCCATTCTCTGGCTAGGCACACCCTGCCCACACGATTGCTCTAGGGCTGCTGTTGCAGAAACAGCTACTCCCTACCTCCCAGCCCCAGCCCCCAGGCTGATTACTTGTGGTTAATGTAGGCAGAAGGAAGAGGTGTTTTAAGCAGTGAAGGAAAACACAGAGAATTACAGAAAGTAGACAGGATCCCAGGAAATTACACTCTGCAGCAATCTCAAGTGCCTCTGGATGAGCAACACCAGCGTAATGAGCTAACATGCCTTTTCTCTGTAGCCACTACCCTCAGCTTCTTAGGGCAGCCTTGTCCCCTCCCTGGCACGGAGTGGCAGCACCATCTGCCAGCCCACTCTCTCACACCCAGCCTGGCCTGCTAGGGCTCCTTCAGTAGAAGGAGATCATGGCCAACACGCTTGACTTGGCCCCAGAAATGAAGTGTTCCTACTATCCTCCAACCAAGACAAGCCCCTTCCCAATGCCATCAGAGCCCTACAGATCTCACTCCTCCTTATAAAAAAGCTACTTGATAGGCCACTGCCTCCTAACTCCTGCCCCATTCCACCATCCACTGGCAGGACTTGCTGCTCCCCCAAGGTCAACTGACATCTGCTCAGTATCCAATGAGAGGACAAAAAAACAAACACCAAAAAACAAATGAACAAAAACCCCAACTATTGTATTTTTGCCTCAGTTTATAAAAGGTCTCTTGTTGCCACATCAAATACAAAATATAAATACAGCTTCCTGCTAGGAAACTGAAAACATGGTTAGTCCCTTAGGGAAAACAATGAACCCTGATAAGGCCCAGACATCACTGGCCTGAGAACCCCATGACCACTCCCTGATTATCAACCTGTTGAGCTGTGGGCATTCTAAGCATTAACTGTTCACTTTATTAAATCAATAACTACTTGTCAAACTTTTTATAACAGAGTACAATAAAGACACTGGATATAAATTATTTTCTAATCCTCATAATAACCTTGCAGGGAGAGAATCGTTTTAATTTTACAGATGAGAAACACAGGTTCAGAGCACTAACATGATATACCTGAGGTTACAGTCAGCGAGGGCTGGGATTTGAGCCCAAAATGATGGCTTCAAAGCCTACTCCTGTTCTTTTTACCATACCAGCAACTTTCCAATTATGATCAGAGGGTCCTAGTGGGTCTCTAAGCATGTCTCCAAGCCAACTACTAGCCAAAGCCAACTCAAGTCCGGGCCCAGGACCTCCTCTAGAACAAGTGTTTTGTTTTGTTTTTTAAAAATTTATTTTATTTATTTCAAAGGCAGAATTATGGGGCCAGTGTTGTGGCACAACGGGTAAAGCCATCACCTGTGAGGGCAGCATCCCATATGAGTGCTGGTTTGGGTTCTGACTGCTCTACTTTCAATCCAGCTCTCTGCTTTTCAAATAAATCATTGTGAAAATTAATTTTAAAAAGGGCAGGGTTATAGATAGAGGGAGGGAGGGAAGGAGGAAGGAAGGGAGCGAGCGAGCAAGCGATATCTTCCATCTGCTGATTCTTTCCCTAAATGGCTACAATGGCTGGGGCTGGTTCAAGATGAAGCCAGGAGCCAGGAGCTTCCTCCGGGTCTCCCACATCGGTGCAAGGACCCAAGCACTTGGGTCGTCTTCCACTGTTTTCCCAGGCACACTATCAGGGAGCTGGATCAGAAGTGGAGCAGCTGGCACTTGAATGGGCACCCATATGGATGCCAGGCAATCAGGGCAGAGGCTCAACCTTCTATGCCACAGCACCAGCCCTGCAAACTTGTTTTTTGATTTAAGCAAACCGGTTGGAAAAACACATTTGAGAGTCACATAAAATTAGACAGGGACTGAATATTAGCTGATATTAAGAAATAAATGTTGGGGACTAGCTCTGTGGCACAGCAGGCTGAGCCACAGTCTGCAGTGCAGGCATCCCATTTGGGTGCCGGTTTGAGCTGGTTGCTCCACTTGCAGCACCCATGTGAGATGCCAGAGTTGCAGGCAGCAGCTTAACCTGTTAAGCCACAATGCTGGCCCCAAGAACCAGTTTGATCTCACTCACAGAGGAAACAGCCTGCCTACTGGCCTGTCTGCAGTTTCCTAAAGAACCATCTGAAAACCAGAGGCCTCAAGTGCTCACAGGATCACAGGATGCTGAGAAAAGGGGTCCACCACATAGAAATAGGGAAAACGGGGAAACAAGAAATAAAATAAGAGGATGAGATACAGCAGCAGCTTGCAGAGAGGAGAGGGGAGGCTATGCGCATGCTCACTCTGGCAAGCAGGCCTTCAGCAGCAGGGTTCCATTCATTCCCAGCAAGTTTCCAAATCAAAGCTCCTGACATCCAAGCAGGGAAGTATGACAAAGATAAGACATCAAAGTAAAGTTTTGCTTATTAACAAAGATAATCTAAAAGATTTACTCCTTTACCTCCAACCCTTGTTTGCAGACTTTATCTCACTAATTCCCTTTTAAAAAATCTTAGTGTTGCAAAAAGCTAGGCTTAATAACAGTCCCTGTGATGACCTCTGACACTCCCTCCTTCTCTCTCACACACACACACCCATTGTGCATGATATCTGGTAACTGCATTCAAGACAACTGAAGTCTCCAACCTTCATTAGAGAAAAGGGGCTGGCGCTGCGGTGCAACAGGTTAAGTGGGGCCCACCGTGCCAGCATCCCATATGGGCACTGGTTTGAGTCCCAGGCACTCCACTTCCAATCCAGTTTCCTGCTAATGTGCCTGGGAAGCAGCAGCAGATGGCCCAAGTCCCTGGGCCTCTGCACCCATGTGGGAGACAATGAAGAAGCTCCTGGCTCCAGCCTGGCACAGCCCTTGGCCATTACAGCCATTTGGGCAGTGAACCACTGGATGGTAGATCTCTCTCTATGTAACTCTATCTTTCAAAAAACTAAATCAATCTTTAAAAAAAAGAGAGAAAGAAAAAAATATTTGAGAGCAAGTGTTTGCTCCTATCAAAATCTAAACTGTCACTTAGGCTCCTTCCAGATTTCTCTGAAGAAGTTCACCTGACAACCTCAGTCCTTAACATGCTTTCTGTCTGCCATATTTGAATTCCATTATTTCATCCATATGAAAATACACACAAGGGACATGAGGAAACATTCTGGAGTGCTAGAAATGTCCTATTCTCTCATCTGGATGGTTTTCACTGTCACAGGTATACATCCATATAAACTCACTGAACTGTATTTTTAATAATAGGACAGAAGGGGGCCAGCACTGTGGCGTAGCAGGTAAAGCTGCTGCCTGCAGTGCCGGCATCCCATATGGGCACTGGTTTGAGTCCTGGCTGCTCCACTACCAATCCAGCTCTCTGCCATGGCCTGGGAAAGCAGTAGAAGATGACCCAAGTCCTTGGGCCTCTGCATCCACGTGGGAGACCAGGAAGAAGCTCCTGGCTCCTGGCTTTGGATCAGCACAGCTCCGGCCATCGCGGCCAACTGAGGAATGAACCAGCGGAATATCTCTCTCTCTGCCTTTCCTTTACTTGTATACTTTGCCAAAGGATTCTATTCCTCAATTAAAAGGTAAAAAGGCGGCTGGATGTCTGGCCTAACAGTTAAGACACCCGTATCCCATATGATAGTACCCGGCTTTGATTCCTAGCTTTGGCTCTTGACTCCAGCTTCCTATTAACACAGACCCTGGGAAGCAGCATGGATAGCTCAAGTGATTCGTGCCTGCCATTTAACATGGGAGATCTGAATTAAGTCCCTGGCTTCTGGCTTCAGTCCTAATCCAGTCCCAACTGTTGCAGTCACTTACGGGATGCCAGTACAACAGGCAGCGGCTTTATCCACTACGCCACAGCACTGGCCCCAGCTTTTCTTTTCTTTCTTTTTTTTTTTGACAGGCAGAGTGGACAGTGAGAGAGAGAGACAGAGAGAAAGGTCTTCCTTTGCCGTTGGTTCACCCTCCAATGGCCGCCGCGGCCAGCGCGCTGCGGCTGGCGCACCGTGCTGATCCGATGGCAGGAGCCAGGTGCTTCTCCTGGTCTCCCATGGGGTGCAGGGCACAAGCACCTGGGCCATCCTCCACTGCACTCCCTGGCCACAGCAGAGAGCTGGCCTGGAAGAGGGGCAACCGGGACAGAATCCGGCGCCCCGACCGGGACTAAAACCCGGTGTGCCAGCGCTGCAAGGCAGAGGATTAGCCTAGTGAGCCGCGGCGCCGGCCCCCAGCTTTTCTTTTTTAAAAACTTTTAAAATAACTGTTTAGGTTCTTGGTAAAGAGGTCCAAAAGTCAGAAAGGCTTTGCCACCAAAGTGTATTACATGAAAGACCTCTGTGGGTAGGACCCCAGTGGAAAGAAGTGGTCATTGAAGAAGGATGTACTTTTCTCTCAAGGGAGAACTTTCACTTTGCTTATGGCCTTGTCTAAATACTGAAGGAGTATGTGAATTCACAAGGTTTCCACAGCCTAGGCAGCTCATGTCAAGAGCCTCAGGTGATCACTGACGTCATACCTAAGAGTGTTAATTGTTAGATTAACAACAGGAGTCACTGTGCACTAATTTCCTCTGTCTTCAAAGAGTTGGATTATGAGAGTTAATAGTAAAACCTGTCCTCAAAGATTTACTTTGTTTTAGTGTATTAAGTGGAGGATATTCTTATATCTCATAAACTATAGCTATGTCTAAGTGCTTGCACTCTTGGGTTCTTCTTCAAAGTTAATTAATTTTCTCTAAAACAAAAAATGTATATAAATTAAACCTCAAATATATAAATATATATACCTCTCTATATATATAAATATAAATTAAACCTCAGAAAGGTTTACTATTATTTAATTAAAAAGTATGTTTTCTGGGGCCGGCATTGTGGCATAGCGAGTAAAGCTGCCGCCTGTAGCGCTGGAATCCCATATGGGTGCCAGTTCGAGTCCTGGCTGCTCCACTTCCCATCCAGCTCTCTGCTATGGCCTGAGAAAGCAGTGGAAGATGACCCAAGTCCTTGGGCCCCTGTACCTGTGTGGGAGACCTGGAAGAAGCTCCTAGCTCCTAGCCCTGGATCGGCACAGCTCTGGCCATTGTGGCCAATTGGGGAGTGAACCAGCGGATGGAAGACTTCTCTTTCTGCCTCTCCTTCTCTCTGTGTAACTCTTTCAAATAAATAAATAAATCTTTTTAAAAAAAGCTCTAATTACTAAACTTGTATATACTTCTTAAAAAAAAGTATGTTTTCCTTATTGCAAAAATAATGAATAAAAATGAAACAGAAATTACTATGATTGTTAAATGTATAAAATAAAGCAGACAATTGGGCTAACTACCCTGCTCAAGTGGCCTTGAAATACAAATACTTCAAGGAAGGCTTTATTAAAATTAAATAATCCTCAGAGATTATAAGTAAGTACAGAGATACTGCACGGGACACCAGCATCCCAGATCAGAGTGCCTGGATCTGAGTCCCACATCTATTTCCAATTCCAGCTTCCTGCTATTATGCACACTGGGAGGCAGCAGGTAATGGCTGCAGTGCTTGGGCCACCCATGTGGGAGACCTAGATTTTCCTCAGGGCTCCTGGCTTTAGACTGGTCTAGCTCTGACTGTAGCAAGCATTTAAGGAGTAAACCAGTGAATCGAAGATCTCTGCCTTCCTCTGTTTCTCTTCTTCTGCCTCTCATATAAACAAAAATAAATAAATAAATAAATTTTTTAAATTAAATAATCTAGGGCCAACGTTATGCTGTAGTGGGCTAAGCCTCCACCTGTGGCACCAGCATCCCATATGTGTGCCAGTTTGAGTCCCAGCTGCTCCTCTTCTGATCCAGCTCTCTGTTATGGCCTGGGAGAGCAGTGGAAGATGGTCCAGGTGCTTGGGTCCCTGCACCTGCACAGGACATCCTTAAGAGGCTCCTGGTTCCTCATTTCAGATCAGCTCAGCTCTGACCATTGCAGCCATCTGAGTGAACAGCAGATGGAAGATCTTTCTGTCTCTTTGTCTCTCTGTAACTCTACCTCTCAAATAAATAAAATCTTTCAAAAAAAATTTAAATAATCCCATATAGTGAACCCCTATGGGTCTTTCTCCTGAAACGTTGAAAGCACACGGTGACCCCCAGAGTCAGGAACAAACATCTCTGACAGGCTGCACGACCAGACGCGGGGACCGGGCTGATGCAGCAGGATGCTAGCCTTCACTGCCTGCAACAAAGGGTGGCTGTCAGCTCTTGGAGGAGGAGGAGAGTGGAAGAGTAGAGGAAACAGGGCAGTCTAAGAACAGCTTGCTCCACTAAGCTAAGTGCCGTTCTCGAATTTAGAAACAAAGACAGAATTAGTGCTCCTCTCCTGCTAGGCAACAACTAACTACAGAGCAATCCTTAAGCCCAGACCGCAGAGGTAAGCAGGATCCATCTCGACAGGAAACCTGGTATACTTCAACGACAGAGAAAGCAAAGCAGAATGCCTGCCCCAGAAAAGACAAGCATTAGAGACAAGTGAGTGTACCAATCAGAGAATGAGTGCCAATAGCAGTCCTTAACACTACTGATTTGAAAATCCACCTTAAAAGCAGGAATGGAAAATCCTACTCTGCAGTGAACAATAAAGACTTCATAAAGGACTGAAAGTACCACCGGATAGTTAAGTTTGCTTTTATGAGGCAGGCCTCACCACCACCCCGCGAAGAGACTGACGGGGAACTACTGTGGTGTCGTGTGTGGTCCTCAGCTCCCACTCCGGTAACACAGCCTGGGAGCAGGCTGCGCAAGAGTCACGGAGTCACGGCGACTCAGGGAGGTTACTCGGGCTTCTCTGCTCCCAGGAACTTAATGAGCACTGATTTACTCCCTAGCTCAGCACAGTTCCAAGCTCAATCATGACCCTGTACTCCAATCTAGAATTACTTCAGGAGCAAAACTTACCAGCTGATCTTCACCACTGACTTCCAAGGATATTGAGAAAGAAAGTGGAGGGCAAATGGCAGCAAGTTCTGGAATTCACGACCCAGAAGCCCACGGGACGGTGGGCACTCCTTTGCTGGTTAGCCCCAGGTGACTGCTCTTCTAGAGTCTGTCCCTTCTGACAGGAAAGACATCAACCACTGCCAGCACTCCTTTGGCCCAGCCTTGCTGCGGGATTCCAGCAAGCTCAGAGCGGGAGGCACACACAACTGCATGCAGCCAGGCCAAAGCAAGCACAGAGAAGCAGTACAAGGGTTCTCTCTCTAAACATTTTCAAAACCATTTAGTAAAGGAAGGAAAAGCGAAGGAAACGACAGCAATCTAAGACAAGGGTCACCAGACCACGGCCCGTGAGCCCACCTAGCTTGTTGTTTTGGCAAAGTTTTATTGGAACAGAGCACACTCATTTGTTGTTTTATCTAAAATGACCTTCTTGGTACCACAGCAGAGTTGAGTGACTGTGACAGACACCATACGGCCTTGAAAGGTCTTTACAAAGAAGTCTGCAGACCTCTGACCTAAGAAATGGGTAATATTTAGGTGCCATTTACATTTTGTTTTTAATTTACTTATTTGAAAGACAATTACAGAAAGAGATTATTCCAGCTGCTGGGTCACTCCCCAAATGGTCCCAAGCCAGGAGCCTGGAACTCCATTAGGGTCTCCACTATGGGTGGCAAGGACCCAAGTATTTGAACTATCTTCTGCTTTCCCGGGCACATTAACAGGGAGCTGGATTGAAAGTGAAGCAGCAGGAACTTGACCTAGTGTGTATATGAGATGCCAGTACTGCAAGTAGTGCCTGAACCTGCTATACCACAAAGCTGGCTCCCACCTACAGACTTTAAAGTGGTAACAAGAGAGAGTAATTCAGCCTTAGTGATTAATTTTAGAGACAGACTGAAATAGACATAGTTTGTAATGGTAAAATGCTAATGGGTGTGTATGAATGTGTGTGTGGCCAGCACTGTGGCAGAGTGGATTAAGCCTCCACCTGCAGTGAAGGCATCCCATATGGGTGCCAGTTCTAGTCTCAGCTGCTCTTCTTCCTATCCAGCTCTCTGCTATGGCCTGGCAAGATGGGCCAAGTGCTTGGGCCCCTGCACCCGCATGGGAGACCCAGAAGAAGCCCTGGCTCCTGGCTTTGGATCGGCTCAGCTCCAGCTGTTGTGGTCATTTGGGGAGTGAAACAGAGGATGAAAGACATTTCTCTGTCTCTGCCTCTCTCTCTTGCCTCTCTTTCTCTCTCTGTAACTCTATTTCTCAAATAAATAAATAAAATTGTAAAAAACAAAAAATGCTATGGGGGTAGGCTTGGGTAGTGGTTAAGACATCATTTGGTATGCCCACATCCCATATCAAAGTGTCTAGGTTTGAGTCCTGGCTCCACCTCCACTCCCAGCTTCCTGCTAATGCAAACTCTGGAAAGCAGCAGGAGATGGCTCAGTACTTGGGTCTCTGCCACCCAAAGAGGAGACCAGATGGAGTTCCTGGCTTCTGGTTTCACCTCAGCTCAGTCTGGGTACCACAGGTATATGGGGAGTGCACCAGCAGATGGGAGATCTCCTTTTCTGCCTTTCAAACAAATAAAATGAATTTTCTTTTTGGACAGGCAGAATTAGACAGTGAGAGAGTGAGAGAGAGAGAGAGAAAGGTCTTCCTTTTCTGTTGGTTCACCCCCCAAATGGCTGCTACGGCCGGCGCACTGTGCTGATCCGAAGCCAGGAGCCAGGCGCTTCCCCCGGTCTCCCATGCGGGTGCAGGGTCCAAGCACTTGGGCCATCCTCCACTGCACTCCCGGGCCACAGCAGAGAGCTGGACTGGAAAAGGAGCAACTGGGACAGAATCCAGTGCCCCAGCCGGGATTAGAACCTGGAGTGCTGGTGCCGCAAGTGGAGAATTAGCCAAGTGAGCCGTGGTGCAGGCCTATAAAATGAATTTTTAAAAATTAAAAGAAAAAAAAGCTATAGAAATCTGAGATTTAACTGGTAGGTTTTCAGGTGAACAGAAAAAGCATCCCACTGTATCCTGGAAAAGGGATGACATAGTGGTAGAGAGAGTTAAGCTACTGCTTACAACATGAGCATCCCATAGAAGAGCACTGGTTTAAGTCCCGACAGCTCCACTTCCAATATAGCTCCCTAGTAACATGTTTGGGAAGGCACTGGAAATGGCCCAAGTATTTGGACCCCATCCACCCATGACCTAGATGGAGTTTCTGGCTCCTGACTTGAGCCTGGTCCAGACCTGGCTGTTGCAACCATCTGGGGAAACAACAGATGAAAGATCTCTGTCTCTCTGTTACTCTTTTAATTAATTAAATCTTTCAAAAAAAGAAAGTAACAATGTCCAATACAATCCCAAGGTATGAGAAACCATATAGTGTCTAACAGAGGTACATATCTCATTAGTTATTACAATCATTAAACATTGAAGTAAATTACATTTATTGATGTTATTAGGATATAGATACATAAATCATACCATTTTAATAAATGGAATTGTTGGGGCCAGCACTGTGGTGTAGCAGGTTAAGCCACCGCCTGCAGTGCTGGCATTCCCTATGAATAGCGTCAGTTTAAGTCCTGGCTGCTCCACTTCCAATCCAGCTTCCTGATAATGAAACTGGAAAAGCAGCGGAAGATGGCCCAGGTCCTTGGGCCCTTGAACCCACGTGGGAGACCCAGAACAAACTCCAGGATCCTGGTTTCAGTCTGGCCCAGCCCTGCCCACTTGCAGCTATTTGGGAAGTGACCCAGAAGATGAAATCTCTCCTTCTCTCCCCCTCTCTAACTGTACCTTCCAAATTAAAAAACTCTTAAAATAAAATAAAAAAGCATCTGTGGGAGCAGGCCTTGTGGAGTAGAGTTAGGCCACCACTTCGAACACCCACAGTTCATACTGGAGTGCAGTCTTGAGTCCTGGCTACTCTGCTTCTGATCCAGCTCTCTGCCAATATGCCTGTGCAGAAGTAGATGATGGCTAATGTACTTAAGTCCCTGCCACACATTTGGGAGAACCAGGATAGAATTCCTGGCTCCTGGTTTCCTCTTGGCCCAACCCCCACTGTTACAGCCACTTGGAGCACGAACCAACACAAGGAATGTCTCTCTCTCTTTCTTGGTCACTCTGCTTTTCAAGTAGATGAAAATAAATCAATAAATAAACAATCAACAAGTCATCTGTGAAGATGCCCAAGGGCTTGCCTTCAACATTTGAAAGCTAACTGCTTTTTTTTTTTAATATTTTATTTTATTTGTGAGGTAGAGTTACAGACAGTGAAAGGGAGAGAAAGAGAGAGAGGTCTTCCTTCCACTGGTTCACTCTCCAAATGGCTGCAACAGCCGGAGCTGCGCCAATCCGAAGCCAGGAGCCAGGAGCTTCTTCCTGGTCTCCCATGCGGGTTAAGGGATCTAAGCACTTGGGCCATCTTCTATTGATTTCCCAGGCCACAGCAGAGAGCTGGACTGGAAGAAGAGCAGCCGGGACTAGAATCAGTGCCCTAACTCTGCTACTTCCACAGTTCCTCCCTACTGAGATTCATGCTGTGCAATGAAGATGTCCAAAGAGAACAGAAGAAAGAAGGAAAGCAGTCAGCTGTCTCAATGAACGGTATAAAAATCTACAGCTACAATTCCAGAAAAAGATAAACAGGATATATCCAGGACTTGTGGCTCATATTCTCTTGTTTTTCAATCTCATTCTCCCTCCTCTTTAACGAAAGGCCAAACCTCTGGTGCTGTGGAGCAGCGTGTTAATGCCCTGGCCTGAAGCGCCTGCATCCCATATGGGTGCCAGTTCGACTCGGTGCTCCTCTTCTGATCCAGCTCTCTGCTGTGGCCTGGGAAAGCAGTGGAAGATGGCCCAAGTGCTTGGGCCCCTGCACTTGCATGGGAGACCTGGAAGAAGCTCCTGGCTCCTGGCTTCAGATTGGCACAGCTCCGGCCATTGCACCCATTCATGGGAATGAACCATTGGATGGAAGACCTCTCTCTCTCTGGCTTTCCTCTGTGTAACTATTTCAAATAAATAAATCAATTTTTTTTTTAAGGCCAAACCTTAGATTTCAAAGAGTTCCACATGGGGAATGTGGAGTTGATGTCATCATTGATGTGTATCACCAAGGACCCAAAGCAGGTTCACACCATCCCTATGTGTAACATGAACAGGCCTAGGCTCAAGAATATTCAAGATTTTCCCAGGTTACTCTCAACTCTTATCTATCAAAGGCAAAATGCCAGGATGAATTAGCACAACTAATGAAAAGCTGGCTGGACAGTTTATAGAGGTATAAAATTAATTTAACACCTGCATATACAAGATTTATCTTGGGGCCAGAGTTGAGGAGCAGTGGAGGCCTAAGACACCAGCATCCCATGAGCAACAGTTCGAGTCCTGGCCCTTCTTCTGATGCAGCTCCCTGCTAATGCATCTGGAAAGCAGCAGAAGATGGCGCATGACTCGGGCCTCTGCTACCCACGTGGCAGACCTGGATGGAGATCCTGGCCCCTGGCTTCAGCCAGATAAAGCGCTCTCTCTCTCTCTCCAACTCTGTAACTCTGCCTATCAAATAAATAAAATCAATCTATAAAGCAATTTATGATGATACTCACTCCTAAGGAGCCATAAAACAAAAAGAATCTAAGATCAAACTATGAAAAATGCCTCTGCATCTTTAAAGATTTTCCCTTTGAAAACACTAGACTATCTGCACTTATTTCATGTCTGTCTTCATCAGGAGACACCAGGACGGAACAGATGGTGTGTGTCCCATTCACTATTCTATCCCTCAGAACACGGCTGACCCATCAACCCTATGAACTATGGTGGTAGAGGAAGGCCCAGACTTTGGTGGTTAAGTTAATACCTTCTTTCCACATTCTTCACCTCTCTGGAGAAACCTAGCGCATGGGAAGAGAAAAATTATTTAATAACTTATATTCCAGGGTGGGGGTTCTGGAACAGCGGGTTAGGCTGCAGCTCCGGACCCCACGTCCCAGAGCAGAGGTGCTGGTTTAGTTCTGTCTCTGCTTCCAGCCCTAGCTTCCCAGTAATGCACACCCTGGGAAGCAGCAGGTGATGGCTCCTGTCACCCAGCGTGGGATCCAGATGAAGCTCCTGGCTCCTGGGTCTGGCCTTGCACGGCCCCAGCTGTTGTGATCATTTACAATGAACCTGCAGGAAGAAGCCTTTGTCTCGCTCTCTGTCTCTCTGTCTTTTGAATAATGAATACAACATGCAGGAAACACCTGCTGTAAGATGAATGCAGGAAGCTCTTGAACACTTTTAAAATTTTATTTAAAGTTTTTCTTCAAAGAAAAAACTTCTTTAAGAAACCTTTCTCATTTGAATTTTTAAAAAAGATTTATTTATTTATTTGAAAGTCCGAGTTACAGAGAGGGAGAGAGAGAAAGAGAGGTTTTCCATTCGTTGTTTTACTCCTCACATGGCTGCAATGGCCAGAGCTGGGCTGATCCAAAGCCAGGAGCCAAGAGCTTCTTCCAGGTCTCCCACGTGGATGCAGGGGGCTCAGGCACTTGGACCTTCTTCCTGCTTTCCCAGGCACATTAGCAGGGAGCTGGGTTGGAAAAGGAGCAACTTGGACTGGAACCGGCACCGATATGGGATGCTGGTGCCTCAGGTGGAGGTTTAACCTACCAAGCCACAGCAGCGGCCCCCCAGTGAAAATCTTATAGAGACCTCAATACGTATCACAGTTAAAACAGAGTCGCTTCAGTTAAAGCAAGAGAGGATAACGCAGAGCCTCACATCTTGAGCTTCTTCCTTCCCTAGGTACCTCCTGGGAACTCGGAGGCCGGCCCAACTGTAACACCAAATGACTTAAATTTATCAATTTAAAGTAGATCTTGCTTTATGGCAGGTCAAATGTTCATATATATGAAACATATACATAGACTGAGGGAGTGATTAATCTACTGATCAGTCTCAACACATGCATTTCGTATCACAAGGCTAAGGTCAGTCTTTTCATCTCTTTTTTTTAAGATTTATTTTTTATTTGAAAGTCAGAGTTGGAGAGAGAGACAGAGATCTTCTATCTGCTGGTTCATTTCCCAAGTGGGCTGTAACGGCCATGGGCAAGCTAGGCTGAAGAAGGAGCCAGCAGCTTCCTCCAGGTCTCCCACGTGGGTGACAGGGGCCAGGCACTTGGACCATCTTCCATGGCTTTTCCCAGGCTATCAGCAGGGAGCTGGATCAGAAGCAGAGCAGCAGGGAATCAAACTAACGTCCATGTGGGATGCTGGCACCCCCGGCAGCAGCTGGGATGCCACAACACTGGTCCCCAGTGTCTTTAATCTTATCTCCCAATGTCATCACAATAAGGAATAGACACCTACTCCTATAAAACACCAGAGATGGGAGCGAACCCTGTTTACTAGACACAGTTGAGGCTCTGCTGGTGCTGAAAGCACACAACACCTGCAGTGAGGAGGGCAGCAGCATTGTCACGAAGGAGAAGGAACAAACACTGAATCTGGGTATGCTAAACCGTGCCAGGGTAGATCCGGGCCTATCACATCGCCACCTTGACCAGCTTGAAAAACCTACTCGATTCATCTAAACATTAGTTAGTTTTCCTCAATTTCCAGCTCTAGAATTCTACAGTGCTAAACTAATACCTTTTTTTTTTTCAAGTGCCCAAGAAAAGGCCTCTAAAGCTATTATTTGCACTATTACTTGAAAGAGGCTATCTTCAGGAATAAACATATGCAGTTTAAAACCAACATCCAAATGAAAACAGAAAACTTACTGAAATCATACACTAGTCTTTTACTGAAGTCTTTAATTTTACAAGGCTTATGTTTCAAAGCAGAGAGAGCAGCTCAAATACGAATGGAAGCAGCACCAGTGTGATAACCATTCTCCCTGGCTATTGGCGGGCCTGTTCCAGGAAGCTGCTTTCAAGCTCCAGGCAGTGCTAGCAAGGTCTGTAATAAAGGTGCTATGCACCACACTGTGACAGATGTTATCATCAGCTGAACTTCGCTGAAAACACAAGGCTAGAAACTTGTTTCCATATGCCCCAAACTTAAGTGGGAGTAAGAAGCAGGGTGACCTAGACAACACATGATTCACTGCACATCAAAGCAGAGACATGATACTTTGAAGCTGTAACATGATCTGAAAAAACCACAGACTTCAAAAAATACCCATGTCAGTCAAACCTAAAAAACGTAACTAATCCTCCTTTGCATCTGCTGGATCAGGATCTAAACATTTCAGATTCACTAATGTCAGACTGGTTCAAATAAATCCTAGCTCATTCTGTGGATTAATGCTTCCACTTAGACAGAAGGCAGTGCCTACTCCTCAGTGTACGAAAATGACCCAAAGAAAACAAATACGCAGAGATTACAGCTTACAGTAATACACTTTTACCTTTCTCTGCTAATCTGTGCTCACATAACTTCAGCCTGAGTTTATGAAACGTAGCTATCTGTTTACAGTCACGTCATCGTATTAGTAAGTTCTCAAAATGGAATAGCATGCCACCTCTGGACTAGCCTTTGTGCCCAACCACTAGCTCTACATAACTCAGAAAAGGAGGGAAGAAAGAAGGAGGGAAGAGACAAAGCGGAATGTTGAAGAAAGGAATAAAGAAATAAATTAACACAACGTAACAGTTAGTCAGAAAAATAATGGCTACCAAGAATAACTATTCACCAGCAAAAGGCAAAAACTAGCCCCTCAGGAAGAACTGGCTTCTTGCCTGTAAAATGCATTGAACAGAACCCGTGCCCCTTAGAACTGACACTTCTTGGTACAGGTCTCTTCACAACTGTGCTGTGTCTCTCTTCTCTAATTCCTACTCCATGCACACAGTTAATGGTAAGGAGCTTCCTGGCCCCTGAAGTAAAACATTATGTTTTAAATGCGTTGAGAGAGACCACTTATTACACTCAAATGTGTGAACCCACCTTCTTTTAAAACAATGACAAACAGAAAGCAAGAAACAGATTAGGATATGGATGAGAAAAACTAATTCAGGTTAATTCCTATGAATTCAGGTGGTGTTATTAAAATAGTCAAAGTATGTTTAGTAGATCAATCAAAACATTCATTTATACAGTTTTAAAGCTTACTCATTGCAAAACAGGTTTTCTACAAAAAAATAGAAAACCCAACATTAAACGGCAAAATCAGTACTTAATGTTCAACATCTACAACATTACAATGCCGGTTCTTGTATTCAGCATTCCTACAAAGCTCTAAGAGGTCTGAAAGGGAGACCCTGCATCAGATCTCTTCTTTCTACATTTCGCACATTATGTACCTCCAAAGCCAAGGCTGTCTTGTCGTAGGCATTAGGGACTCGCTTCTGGATTACCCTGGCATAAATGGGCCCATTCTGGAGGTTAGGGAGCGGAGTGTTGACGCTGGGTTGGGCATAGGGCCCAGGCTCCGGCCCACCCAGTGGCTGTGGGTGGGAACCCTCCTGGTTACCTCCAATCAGAGCCGATACTGAGGCGGAGGCAGGTCTATACTTCTCGACGTAAGGGACTGGAATCATCCCCCTCTTGCCTTCGCTGTCCTCTGCATTCCACCACTGCTCTTCAGGCTTATCCCGGATTCTCAGGATGTCTCCTTTCTTAAAGGGGAGATCTTCTTCATCATTCCCATTAAAGTCAAAGAGGGCTCGCACATACTCTGCCTCCTCTTGCCTGAGAATCACTCCACTACCCTGCCTGGGTCTGGAAACTGGTTCTATCAATGTTGTAGTGTCCAAATAGTGTATTTTGTAGAATTCCAGTAAAGCAGGCAATGAATCAAACTCTTGATCTCCTATTCGGAGTCTGGAGGGGCTCACCCCTGGAAAAAACAGAGCACGGTGTTAAAGACGTACTGTATTAAAGATGAAACAGATTTCAAGCAATTCCCACACATACTTAATATTTAACCAGCAAAAAATCTAGAGAAAAACACCCCTTCACTTCCTAGCAAACCAACATCAAACTCTGAAGATGAAACATCCCCTAGGAAGAAAGATGCCCATAAATCACTACCAGCCTGAGAAGGAAAAGGCGGCGGCAAAACCAGGCCAGTCACCGCACGCTCTCACACTACACAAAAGCAGTGCAACACAGGGGCTTTTTGTGTTTCTTTTCATTCACCGGCTCAGAATATTGTTACTACCCATTCACAAAGTAGCATAAGGTTTTAAGTTTGTTTTTTAAAGATTTATTTATTTGAAAATCAGTTACACAGAGATGAGAGGCAGAGAGAGAGAGAGAGGTCTTCCATCCAATGGTTCACCCCACAATTGGCCTCAACGGCCAAAGCTGGGCTGATCTGAAGCCAGGAGCCAGTAGCTTCTTCTGGGTCTCCCACGTGGGTATAGGGGTCCAAGGACTTGGGCCATCTTCTACTGCTTTCCCAGGCCATAGCAAAGAGCTGGATCAGAAGTGGAGCAGCAGGGACACAAATCGGCAACCTTATGGGATGCTGGCACTGCAGGTGGCGGCTTAACCCGTTACACCACAGCACCGATCCCTTGGTTTTAAGTTTTTTTAAAAATCTTTTTAAAGATTTATTAAAAATTTATTTGAATCACAGAGTCAGAGAGAGATCCATCCACTGGTTCATTACCCAAATGCCCACAACAGCCAGGGGTTGGCCAGGCCAGACAGGAGCCAGAAACTCCATCTGGGTCCAGGCACTCAGAGGACTTCATCTACTTTCCAGCTTCCCTGGCCTTTCCCCAGGCACATCAGCAGGGAGCTGAATGAAAGCAGAGCGGCCTAGACTCCAACAAGACACTCCCATATGGGGTGTGAGCACCTCAATCAGTGGCTGAACCCACTGCACCTAACCACCTGTCCCAGCAAGACCTCTTTAATACACAGGTCTCCATGACTACCGGGAGGCGGGGGTGGAGTGGCAATTCACATTTAATTCATATGTCTATGTTCTTCATATCTAGAATGTACAGAATGTATAACTTAAAAGAAGAAAAACATTTTAAAATTTTTTTAATTACTTGAAAGGCAGAAAGAGAAAAACAAATCTTCCATCTGCTGGTTCATTCCTCAAATGCCCACAATAGTCAGGGTGAGGTCAGGCTGAAGCCGTAAGCATGGAAATCAATCTGGGTATGTATGTGGGTAGCAGGGAACCAAATATTGGAGCCCTCACCTGCTGTTTCCCAGGCTGTGCATCAACAGGAAGTTCAAACAGAAATGGAGCCAGGACTCAAACCCACGCACTACAACATGGGAAGCAGGTACCCCAAGCAATATTTTAACCACTGTGTTGGGGCCGGCACTGTGGCACAGTGTGTGAACTGCCACCTGCAGTGCTGGCATCTCATATGGACAACGGTTCAAGACCCAGCTGCTCTACTTCCGATGCAGCTCTCTGCTATAGCCTGGGAAAGCAATAGAAGATGGCCCAAGTCCTTAGGCCCCTACCCCCATGTTGGAGACCTGGAAGAATTTCCTGACCCCTGGCTTCAGAATGGCACAGCTCTGGCCATTGCGGCCAATTGGGGAGTAAACCAGCAGATGGAAGACCTCTCTCTCTTTCTCTGCCTCTCCTCTCTCTGTGTAACTCTTTCAAATAAATAAATCTTTAAAAAACAAAAACAAAACAAAAAAGAAGTGTCAAATGCCCAGCCCAGAAAAACATTTTAAAAATTTATTTTTTCAAGAAACAGACACACAAAGCTACTAGCCCTGCTAACTCCCTCCCCAAATGCCTGCAAGCATTTGTGCTAGGCCAGGCTAAAGCTTGGAATTCCCATCAGGGTCTCCCACGGAGACGGCAAGGACCCAACCAAGGACCAGCACTGCAGTGCAGCAGGTTAAGCTGCTGCTTGCAATGCTAGCATCCCGTACTGGAGTACCAGTGAGTCCCAGCTGCTCTGCTTCTACTCTGGCTCTCTGCTAATGCACCTGGCAAGGCAGCAGACAAGAGCCCAAGTACTTGGGCCCCTGCCACTCACATGGGAGACCAGGATGGAGTTCCTGGTTCCTGTCTTCAGCCCGCCCCACCTGGGCAGTTGTGGCCATTTGGGGGACTGAATCAGCAAATGGAAGATCTCTGCTTTTGCTTTTCCTGCTGTCACTTTGCCTTTCAATAAATAAATTTTAAGAAAGAAAAAAAGGGGGAGGGCAGAATTCAACCTTTTGAGCCATCACCTGCTAACTCCCAAGGTCAGCATCAGCACAAAACTGGAATCAGAAGCCAGAACCAGGCATTGAACTCAGGCACTTCTTTTTTTTTTTTTTTTTTTTTTTTTGACAGGCAGAGTGGACAGTGAGAGAGAGAGACAGAGAGAGAAAGGTCTTCCTTTGCCGTTGGTTCACCCTCCAATGGCCACCGCTGCAGCCGGCGCACCGCGCTGATCCAATGGCAGGAGCCAGGAGCCAGGTGCTTTTCCTGGTCTCCCATGGGGTGCAGGGCCCAAGCACCTGGGCCATCCTCCACTGCACTCCCTGGCCATAGCAGAGAGCTGCCTGAAGAGGGCAACCGGACAGAATCCGCGCCCCGACCGGAACTAGACCCGGTGTGCCGCGCCGCAAGTGAGATAGCCTATTGAGCACGCGCTGCCTGACTCAGCACTTCATATGGGATGGTTTCTCACTTTGCTCCATGCTACTGCTAGCTAAATGCCACCCATCTTATAGTATACTATTTGAACAGAGACAAGAGATCTCATCTTGTCCTCATGCGTTTCAGGATCTCAAATTTTTACTTTATCTGAAAGGCAAAGTTAGAGAGGGAAAGGAGAGCAAGCCAGCGAGATCGTCCATTTGCTCGTTCACTCCCCAAATGTCCGCAACAGCCAGGGCTGAGCCAGGCCAAACCCAGGAGCTCCATCCAGGTCTCTCATACGGATTCAAGGGCGCAAAGACTTACAGCATCTTCCACTGCTTTCCCAGGTGGATTAGCAGGGAGCTGGATGGGAAGTGGATCAGCTGGGACTCAAACTGTTGCCCACATGGGATGTCAACATTGCAGGCAGCAAGTTAACCCATTACAACACATTGCCAGGCCCCCAAAGCAGCATCTTAACCTGTGCACCAGACACCTGCCTCTACCTTTTCTACGACTGTCAATCTCAGTTTCATCTCTGACAACTGAAAACATTTAATCAGACAAATGAACAAAGGAGCCAAAAAAAGAGAAATGAAAAAGCAACTGCTTAAGAAACAATCCCTAAGGTCTTTACTTAAAGCACGGAAATCAGGTTGTTCCCTATAAAGCAAACAGGTCATAAAAAAAATTTAAAAAAAAAAAAAAAAAAAAGGCCAGTGCCACAGCTCGCTTGGCTAATCCTCTTCCTGCGGCGCTGGCACCCCGGGTGCTAGTCCTGGTTGGGGCACCAGATTCTATCCCGGTTGCTCCTCTTCCAGTCCAGCTCTCTGCTGTGGCCTGGGAAGGCAGTGGAGGATGACCCAAGTGCTTGGGCCCTGCACCCACATGGGAGACCAGGAGGAAGCACCTGGCTCCTGGCTCCTGATCGGCGCAGTGCGCTGGCTGTAGTGGCCATTTAGGGGGTGAACCATCAGAAGGAAGACCTTTCTCTGTCTCTCTCTCTCTCTCATTAACTCTGCCTGTCAAAAAAAAAAAAAAAAAATCAACAAGATGCTTGGGGAAATAAAGCAGTGTTAAAATATTCAACCTCTGATAACACAGTAAAGGACCCAAGAGAAAGGGCCTATTAGGAGTGCTTAAAATTTCTTAAGACACAAATACACGGCATACTTCAGATTGTATTTCCTCTCTATCCTGAGATTCTAGAAGTCAAAATTAGTAATAAACATTTATCAGTTGAAATAAGAAGCAATTTCCAATGAGGAGTGCAAACCCTTAACTTCTACTAAACTAAGCACCCCAAAATCATCTTCCTCAGTGAGACTTTTGTTTCCCTCATAAAGCAACAGCTCTGCAGAAAATTTGGGTTTGGGGCCAGTAAAAATATTCACTGGGTTAAGTCGCCACCTGTAATGCCCGGATCCTGTATGGACACTGGTTAGAGTCCCAGCTGCTCTACTTCTGATTCAGCTCCCTGCTAATGCACCTGGGAAAGCAGATGACCTAAGTCCTGGGTCCCCTGAACCCACATGGGAGACCCAGAAGTAGCTCCTGGCTCTGGCTTGGCCCAGCCCTGACTGTTGCAGCCATTTGGGAAGTGAACCAACAGATGGCAGATCTAGCTTTGCTTCCTCTCTTTCAAACTGAATATAATTTTTTAAAAAAGAAAATTGGTGTTTGTGGGAGTTTTGTTAATCCATGTTAACCCTGCCACAGAACGCCTCTTACCATGCATCTTGGGTTATAATCTACCAGTTTTTGTCTTCTCATTTGCTTCCTTTTTGGGAGAACCCTTCCACACTGGTTCACTCCTCCAAATACCTGCAATGGCCTGGGCTGGGCTCTGGATGAGCCTGGAGCCAGGAATACTATCCACCTCCCTCATGTGGATGGCAGGAACCCCAACTACTTGAGCCACCACCACTGTACCCCTGCATTAGCAAAGCCAGATATCACACCCAGGTACTGATTTGGAACATGGATCATCTTAAGCAGTGTCTAAACTCTAGGCTAAAAGCCCATTCCATGAATTTTTACCAAAATACACATGTATCAGCTGGCACTGTGATGCACTGGGATCCGAGCATCCCATACTGGTATGCCAGTAAAGTCCTGGCTGCTCTGCTTCCAATCCAGCTCCCTGCTAATGCACCTGGGAAAGCAGTGGAAGATGGCCCAGGTACTTTGGCCCCAGCACCTGTGTGGGAAGACCTAGATGGACTTTCTAGTTCCTGACTTTGGCCAGTTCCAGTGGATCAAAAAAATCTGTCACT